CTGTCAGCTTTAGGGTTACCTCCACTTTGGCGTTTGTCCTTTAATGTGCATGTATTCTCTACAAGTGGGGATCTGATCTCTTCTCATTTCTTCAATTTCATTTCATCTCATGGAAACTTGCACAATTAAAGATTTCTTTCTCTTTTAAGACTCTTTTTAGCTGTTGTAAGGTTCTCTTCTTTCTACTTCTGTTGTACAGTTTTAGAGGCTTAATTAGGTGGGTCTTTTTCTAACGTAGCCATGGTTGCTATGGGAAAAATATCTCCAAATGAAGCAGAGTGTCTTTGTGGGCTGTCGGAGTTTGAACAATCTTCCTATATTTTAGGAATTCCCCATTTTATACTTCTGCTTTCTGCCTTCTACCATAAGAGCTGAAAGCATCAAATCCTAATTTTCACCACCATTGAATTAAGAGCAGAAAGTTCAAAGAAGAAAGGACAGCACAGAATTATTTCTGGTGCTGGTGGGTGACAAGAGCAATGTCCATTTTCCCAGGATGGTGATCAGTGTAGGGGCAGCATTGCAGCTGTGGCATCCTGTGTTGAGTGGTGGCGGTTATGTTGCCTTCAGTGGGCAGCTTTTGTGGCATGATTTTGACTGTGGGTTTGGAGGTCTGGATTTTCACCTTTCCCAATACTCAGTTGCTCAGGGCATTTCTCTTCTACTAAAACCAGCCAAGACTGGTTTCTGTTGCTAGTGACTAAGCAAGAAGAGTGAAGCAGGTAGCATCCCTATACCAGACCTTAACTATCCTACAGAGCAATAGTAACAAATGCAGCATGGTATTGGTACAAAATAGACTTGTAGACCAATGGTACAGAATAGAGGATACAGAGACAAACCCTCATAAATACAGTTATCTCATATTAGACAAAGGCACCAAATACATACATTGGAGAAAAGATAGCCTCTTCAACAAATGGTGCTGGGGAAACTAGAAATCCATATGTAGCAAAATAAAATTAAACCTCTGTTATCATTCATAAAACTCAAAGTGGATGAGAAGGTTCAGAACCCTGCACCTAATAGAAGAAAAAGTAGGTCCAAATCTTCATCATATTGGATTAGGTCCTGACTTCCTTAATAAGACTCCTATAGTGCAAGAAATAGAGTCAAGATTCAATGAGTGGGATGGATTCAAACTAAAAAGCTTCTTCTCAGAAAAGAAACAATCAGTGAGGTGAATAGAGAGCAAATTTTTACTGCACGCACATCAGATAGAGCATTAATCTCTAGGATATATAAAGAACTCAAAAATCTAAACACCAAACAAAACAAATAACCCAATCAATCATCAATGGGTCAAGGAAATGAACAGACACTTTTCAGAAGATGATGTACAATCAATCAACAAATATATGAAAAAATGTTCAACTTCTCTATCAATTAGACAAATGCAAATCAAAACTTCTCTAAGGTTTCATTTCACTCCAGTCAGAATGACAGCTGTTAAGAATACAAACAATAACAAGAATTGGTGAGGATGTGGGGGAAAAAGTACACTCATACGTTGCTGGTAAGACTGCAAATTGGTGCAACCAATATGGAAAGCAGTATGGAAAACTTGGAATGGAACCACCATTTGACCCAGCTATCCCACTCCTCTGTTTATACTCAAAGGACTTAAAAACAGCACAGGGACACAGCCACATCAATGTTTATAGCAGCTCAATTCACAATAGCTAAACTGTGGAACCCACCTAAGTGCCCTTCAATAGATGACTGGATAAAGAAACTGTGGTATATATACATAATGGAATATTACTCAGCATTAATAGAGAATAAAATCCTAGCATTTGAAGATAAATGGATGGAGGAGAATATTATGCTAAATGAAGTAAGCCAATCCCCAAAATCAAATGCGGAATATTTTCTCTGGTATGTGGATGCTGATCCATAATGGGCATGGGGGTGGGGAGCATGGGAGGAAGTTTAGATAGGGCAAAGGGGAGGGAGGAGCAAGGAGGGGACATGGGGTAGGAAAGATGGTGGAATGAGATGGATATCATTATCTTAAGTATTTAAGAAGATACAAATGGTGTGACTCTGTGTACAACCAGAGACATGAAAAATTGTGCTCTATATTTGTACTATGAATTGGAATCCATTCTGCTGTCATGTAAAACTAATTAGAATGAATAAATAAATTTTTTAAAAAAGGATCTTTTTTTTTTTTTTTTTTTGGTACTGGAGATTAAACCCAGGGCACTTAACCACTGAGCCACATCCCCAGTCCTTTTTATATTTTATTTAGAGACACAGTCTCACTAAGTTGCTTAGTGCCTCACTAAATTGCTGAGGCTGGCTTTGAACTCAAAATCCTCCAGCCCCAGCCTCAGAGCCACTGGGATTGTAGGCATCAGCCACCACACTGGAATCTTGCCTGGTATAAGTTTCAGAGTCTGGGCTTAAGCACTGTAATGGGTTCTTTTCTTGGATATTTTCCAAGCTATCTGACCTTGGGTGGATATTGTAAAAACTCTGATCCTTAATCTAGTGTGGGGTCATAAGCCTGTGATCCCAGAGACGCTGAGGGCTGAAACAGGAGTATTGCAAATTCAAGACCAGCCTTAGCAGCTTAGTGAAACCCTACCTCAAAATAAAAAATAAAAAGGACTGAAGATGTAGCTTAGTGCCAAAGTGCCTGTGTCTTTAATCCCCAATTCCAGGAAAAAAATAAAAACAAACAAATGGTTCTGGGCTTGATGGTGCACGCCTGTAATCCCAGCAGCTCAGGAGGCTGAGGCAGGAGGATTACGAATTCAAGGCCA